GCCGACAGCGGCCCGACCGCGTAGCGCCGGCCGCGCCGAACATGACGGATGGGCGCCGCCCGCCAGCAGGGACGTGCCATTCGATTAAGGCGCAGCGGCGGTGGAGCGGTGGAGCGGTGGAGCGGTGGCGCGGCGATGGCGCGGCGGTGGCGGGCGGCGGCGGCGGCGGCGGCGGCGGCGGCGGGGGGCGGCGGGGGCCGGACGCGGGCGTGGCGCGCCGCCTCGCCACCCAATATTGGCCTCGCCGAGCGCAGTTCGCCACTCGGCGAACTCGAGGGCGTGCTTCAGCGGCGCGGAGCGGCGCCCGGGGCGGCGGCGCGCGCTGAGATGGCTCCGCTGAGCTGGCGCCGCCACGCCCCCGGGTCGCGGTGCTTGATACAGAACGCGATCGGCCGGTGCAGTTGATTAACGTCTGCATACTGGAGGGGGGGGGGGGGGGAGGGACGAAACAGTCCCGACGGTCAGACTGCTCGACCGCAACCCGCGCAAGGCGAGGGCAAAGCGTCATCGAAATCGCAATATCCAAAATTGGCTGGTTGAAAATAAAGAGACCCATAAGGAGTTCTGGGAAATCTTCGATGCTCGCTGACGGCCGAAATTCCGCCAGCGGCTACAGACAGCCACGTGATAAATCACGGCTTCCAGCGTCGATAAGCCTAGCCTATGAGTGTGCAGATGCACATTGCCAGAAAGTCTAGGAACTCGTCAAGCCCAATGAATAACCACGAGACTGACGCAGGGCTCTTGCGAGACACCAATAAGCATGACGCAAAGTATCCCTACAAACGGTGATAAACCTCCTGCACATGGCCTCCGGTGGTGAGTGATAAGACGGTGAACATTCGTGGACTGTTTGCTTCAGACAGGCCGCACAGTTTTTGCGCGGGACACTAACGATAATAACATCTCAGTTCGGCTGTTTGGGCAGTGCCCACCTGACCCGTTTGAAAGTACTTGTCGCCGCATGTACTCTCCCCTGTTTTGCTCACCTGTCCTAGCGCATGCTCATCTATCCCGGCTGTGCTCACCTGTCTCGGCTATGCTCACAGGTCCCGGTCGTGCTCACCTGTCCCGGTCGTGCTCACCGGTCCCGGCCCATGCTCACCTGTCCCGGCTGTCCCGCAGTGGGTCCCGGATGTCGCCGGCTCCGTCCGCCGCCGACGGCACGTTGTCGAAGAACACCTGCCGAGACGGGTGTGACGCAGGTCAGCGCAACCGGCCTCGGGGGAGGCACGGCATCGCGGGGGGGGGGGAGGCACGGCATCGGAGGGAGACGCGGCATCGGAGGCAGGCGTGGCATCGGAGGCAGGCGTGGCATCGGAGGGAGGCGCGGCCTCGGAGGGAGCGTGGCACCGGAGGGAGCGCGGCATCGGAGGGAGCGCGGCATCGGAGGGAGGCGCGGCCTCGGAGGGAGCGCGGCATCGGAAGGAGGCGCGGCATGGGAGGGAGGCGCGGCATCGGAGGGAGGCGCGGCCTTGGAGGCAGTCGCGGCATCTGAGGCAGCGCGGCATCGGAGGGATGCGCAGCATCGGAGAGAGACGCGGCATCAGAGGGAGGCGCAGCACCGGAGGGACGCGCGGCATCGGAGGGAGCGCAGCATCGGCGGTGGAAGCGTTGGCTGATGGCAGTAGCCGCGCCCGAACCACACCCCGCCGACCGGCCGGCTGACAGCAGCACAGCGACGGACGGCGGGGGTCGTCTGACGACACCGGGACGTTCAGGCCGGAGAAACCGGGAGCATCGCCAAACCTCTCACAAACATCCACTGCCGGAGTATTTATGGCAGGTCTGTGACCCCATGACCCGTGTCAATTCGCTCAGCACGCTCCAATCACAGCCGGGTCGGACAGCCGCGTCTCCAACCACCCCGAGCGCGGCGCGGACGCCACGTAACAGTCGGCACTTGACGACAGTGTCGTGGCGCTGGCGTGGCGCTGGCGCTGGCGCTGACGGCCACGGCCTGGCTGGCCATCCCACAACGACCGGGAATCCCACCCCGCGCCCGTCGGGACGTGTGTCGAGCCGTGTTCCCGGGCGAGATGATCCTGTAGATGGGCGATGGTGCGGTGGTTTGTCCAGCTGCTCACATAACGCACCAATGATCGCTTGTGACCGCAGAGAGCGGCTGGTGGATATCGTGACTGACTTCAACAGCGCGCTCGCCGAACTTGTTACCTGGTGTAACTGGATAAAACGGCAATCAGCGCGGCAAAAACTCCACTTCTGGCACTCGGAACGAAACCTTCTTGGTGTTCCCAGAAGTACCGTCCGCACTGCGGCATCGACAATTACTAAAATCCGGCCTGCTGAGTGCCTGTGTCTCACGATTGTCAGACGCCTTGCCTTTCAATGGCCCAATGACCGATGACTGCGGAGTGCATGCGCTGAATCAGCCCCACTCACCCCAGCCACCTCGTTTCGCACTGTGTGCAGCAAGTGGTGAAATGACTCTGTATGTTTTTAGTCTGCACCTGGATACCCCTTTACGAAACATGCGCCAGCAAATGATTTGTCCTGCTACAAAGGTGGCCAGATCTTTATATCACAGAGTTCTGAACAACTGGTCGGATTTTGCACTGCAGTCACTGCGAGCGACAACAAATGTGACATAATTTCGGAGGCAAGCATGCGTTCAGGCATTTGTCAGCTTTCAACTTACTAGAAAATCACCAAAGAACCCATAGCAAGTCCTTACTACACGCAGGACAACATATTTGCGAGCGTTATTACAGGCCATCCAGAAAAATTACACCACTCGACGGAGCGGAAAGCTCGAGTGACTCCACCCAGGACCAACGCCGGCAAGTGGAGACTCAGCCAACACGCTGCGACAGTGTTCAACCGCCCGTCAAACACTCGGCACGTGCTACGCTTTAAGACGGGTCCAGTTCATCCCCTGCTACGAGGAGATCAGCTGAGCATAGTGTATGTTCTTTTGGAACTTAACTGAACTTCGTGAAAACCCGGAAGCGTTCGCGGATGTCACCGCAATAAAACAACCTGAACTGAACGTAAACCGGGTGCCAATCAGGTCCAGCACTGGCCAGTTCGACCGAGTCGACGCCAAATGGGGGGCGTCGTGACCATGACGATGACGACAAAGGCGGAGAAGACGTGGGATTCACAGTGCGGAGACGTCCGTTGCAAGCGTCTGGCACGATTTGTGCCCGAGCGATGATAAAAATGAGCCCGAGACGCGAGCACATCGTCTCCGACACTGCCTTAGAAGGTAACCCCGTCGCTGCTCACCAATTCCGTCTTCTCTGTGACTTCGCCTATTTGTACGCCCCCCCCCCCCCCCCCAACATCAACGACCAAGCCTACTCCTTCGGATTCCGAACTCGCTCGCAAGCCAACCTGACCGACCTGACCTGACTGACCTGATCTAACTTGAAGCTGAGCTGAGCTGAGCTGAGCTGAGCTGACCTGAACTGATCTAACCTGAGCTAGCCTGAGCTGAGCTGAGCTGAGCTGAGCTGACCTGAACTGATCTAACCTGAGCTGAGCTGGACTGGGCTGGGCTGAGCTGAGCTGACCTAAACTGATCTAACCTGAGCTGAGCTGAGCTGAGCTGAGCTGAGCTGAGCTGAGCTGACCTGAACTGATCTAACCTCAGCTGAGCTGACCTGAACTGATCTAACTTCAGCTGAGCTGAGCTGAGCTGAGCTGAACTGAACTGATCTAGCCTGAGCTGAGCTAACCTGATCTCATCTGACCTGATCTGATCTGATCTGATCTGTGCTGAGCTGACCTGATGTGATCTGAGCTGATCTGATGTGATCTGAGCTGATCCTATCTGTGCTGAGCTGAGCTGAGATGAGCTCAACTGAAGTGAGCTGAGCTGAGCTGAGCTGAGCTGAACTGAGCTGACCTGCTCGCTGGCGGCACTCACCTCGTCGGTGGCGGCCTGCATCACGTCCGACGGCGGCGCGGCGGCGCCCTTGGCGGCCGGCGGCGCGCCGTCGGCCGACTCCAGCCGCAGCCGCTCGTCGCCGGCGCTGGGCGGGTAGCTGCGCGACGAGCTACGCTGGGTGGCGCGCTGCAGCCGGCCGCGCGCCACCAGCTGCCGGCACCGGGCGCGGCGTCAGCGGACAGCGGGACGGCGGGCAGCGGGGCAGCGGGGCAGCGGCAGCGGGGCAGCGGCGCGGCAGCGTGAGGCGCGGGGGAGGGGCACGGCGCAGGGCCTGCACGGACTGGTTGCCCAGGTCCGCTGGACGGCTGCCCCCCCCCCCCCCCCCGCCCACTCGGTCTCTTTCGCTGTTTATAAATGGCGTCGCCTTCTAGATATTCGCGAGGTTGACAACATAATCAGTTATCTGCCGCGACACCCAACACATTTTTGAGACAATAAATCTAGACCACGTTCCCCGTTTTGCACATAATCTAGGTGAAATACAGAGGAAAGTCTAACTTTGGTTCCAGCGGAAGGTTCCCCAATCATGACTTCCCCTCTCCACCCTAAGTGACACCGCCTCCGCCGCACGCCCAGCTCCCACTCCACGCCCACGCTACGAACACACCGTCGCCACTACCTTCTCCATCTCTCTATAACCATGACCCCGGGCGGCCAGTGAGCTGGGCCACCGCCGTCCCACCAACACCTAACTCAGTGCACTCGCCCCTCCGTCCCCGCCCAAGACACCCCACCATGACGAACGAGAGCCGCGGCGGCACACCGGACGGCCGGGCCGACCGTCGAGCGGCGGCGGCCGAACACGTACGCTGTTGCGCGACCGGCCGGCGGCAGCGGCGGCGGCGGCGGCGGGCGGTGCCGGCTCCACGTGCCGCTGCAGGCGCCGACGCAGCAGCTGAACGCACACCCCGCGCGGTTAGCCGACTGCGCAGGTTAGCGGACCCCGCGCGGCGCCGGGCAAGCGAGCTGCGCAGCGGCCGGCGGCGGGGCGGGACGGCCGCGCGCGCCGGTCCGATAAGCCAGGCGAGTGCGGCGGGCGGCACAGACACAACACGCGGACCACGTACAGAGACAGGCGACATAACAGGACGACGCACTGCACAGTGCTAGGGCCACGTCTATGGACGAAAGGCATCAGACACCGGCTCGACGCAAGAGCAGGGTTCATGAACATGTGCAGCGCGCATGCATCTCTGTTTTGATTCTCAACGTTAAACATGCGTCTTTGCGGCTCAAGACATTCGCCGTTAGGACAATGAAATGGTGAATGGGAAGTGGACGGAGGAAACGGCACAAACGGTTTAGAGATGGCAAAGGATTTGTAAACAGCCATCTACTCACAACCCCTAATGACCGATATTCCGGGGTAACCAGCCCCCACCCCCCACACACAGCCATTTCAAAGGGTTATTAGGGCCACATGGTCCCTCAGAGAAGGTCAGTGGTGCAGTTGTCGTCACGCAAACCGGGCTCAGCCGCCACCCGACCACATGAGTATCCCAAAACCCACAGCGTACCGGGATTCAGCTCCTCCGCTGATAGCCAAGCCTACGGCTTTGGAAGCCAGCGCAGAGGGCGGCCCGCACCCCTGGGCCGCGGGGCGGACCGCAGCGCCGGCTCGGACGCCGGCTCCTCTCGGTCTCCCATCCCATCGGCCGGCGCGGTCGTGACGCCAGATGAGTGAGAGCGCCGGCCGGCCGGCGTCTCCCCGGGGTCCACGCGCTCGCGCGCGACCACCGGGCGGCACCGTTAGCGAGGCCCGGCGGGACGGGGCCCATCCAGCGGTAACCGCACCCGGCGGGACGGGCCCACCCAGCGGTAAAAACACCCGGCGGGACGGGCCCACCCGGCGGTAACAGCACCCGGCGGGACGGGTCCACCCGGCGGTAACAGCGCCAGGCGGTCGCCACTGCTCACCGTCAGTGACGGAACTGGGGCAGCCTTTGTCGGCCGAGATATACCCACAGACATCCCCGCACTAATCATACTCTAGCATACAGCGGGCTCGGGTAAATCGGTGACAGGTCGTTAGCAACACAACTCGTCCGAGTGATGTAAGCACAGAACAAAATGACAGCTTTAGCTGAGAAAGGGCAAAATGCGGCCAACACAAACACAACAGCAACACACCACGACCAAATAAATCAGGCGCATGCACTAACTGACTGGACGGCAGGCGGGCGACGAGCTCATCGCTAGGCGGCGAAGCAACCAGCCCCGAGGTGGGACACAGCTGGACGCTACAAGCAAACAGCTACGCACGGACCAACAGCAAGCCAGCCGATGACGCCCGTCTGACGGCGCCGGTCCGGGTCGGACAACGGCTGTCAACTCCCGCCAGACACAGTGTCAGACACCAGCTCTGACGCGGTCCCGCGTCCGACCCGGGCCGCAACGCCGGGCCGCGACACCGATCGGCGACGCCGGGCCGCGACGCCGGATCCATACCGTGGCCAGGTAGCCTAGCCCCTGCCAGGTCATCTGCGCCACGTTGTCCTTGCGGCGGCGCTGCACCGTGGCGCTGGCCGAGTCGGTGACGTCACCGCCGAAGCCGACCGGCAGCGACAGCTGACGGCCGCCGCGCACCCCGTACGGATCCACCACCTGCCGGCACGCGGGCGCGCGAGAGGTCAGGTCACGACCCGTGCGGACGAGGTCGGGTCAGAGACGGCCCGGACAAGGGCGGGTCACAGACGGCCCGGACAAGCTCGGGTCGCAGACGGCCCGGACAAGGTCGGATCAGAGACGGCCCGGACGAGGTCAGGTCACAGGCGGCCCGGACGAGGTCGGGTCACAGACGGCCCGGACGCGGTCGGGTCACAGACGGCCCGGACGAGGTCGGGTCACAGACGGCCCGGACGAGGTCGGGTCACAGACGGCCCGGGCGAGGTCGGGTCACAAACGGCTCGGACGAGGTCGGGTCACAGGCAGCCCGGACGAGGGACGAGGTCGGGTCACAGACGGCACGGACAGTCACAGACGAGATCAGGACGGTACGGGCTCCGTTGCTGGACACTGAGCGAGGCACAGCGTCGCTGGCACCGTCCGCGGCAGCGTGAAAAACCTACGGGAGAAGTCGCGTCTGGCGGGTCCCGCACGGCCCAGATGAACCCAGTTCCTTCACTGCCGGCGATGGCAACAGCAGGCTTCAACCGGCGACCTCGGTACGGTTGGCCGGCTTACGATTACACCAACCAACCGCCGTGCGGTACATGACATAATGACGCATGACAGCGCATGACTGATAGCGCCCTTCCCCAACCCAGTCAAAAAATAGATAGTTAAGCGACCCAAATGGCGGCCGGCAGCGCGGCGTACAGCGCGGACGCACCGGCCGCCCACACGGACCCGCGGATCAATGGGATGAGTGCGAGCAGCCCACACAGGCCGGCGGCGGCGGCGGCGCCGGCCGCACGCACGGCGCCTGTCCGCCCGTCCGTCAGCGGCCCGACAGCGGCGGCGGCGGCGGCAGCCGTCCGTTTGGACGGTGCGGACGTGCGGGAGTGCGCCGAGCGAGTTCGCCCTGAGAACGCCTCGCGTCCGCCTTGAGAACGGCTCACGTCACGTCGCCGTGCGTCAGTGGCCAGTTGGATTCATAATCACACGCTGTGAGATCTTTTGGGGCGAGAGATGCTGACGCCCGTCAACCAGCGGCCGTCAGGCGCCGCCGCAGGGCGCCTCGCCCGCCTGCCGAGCCGGCGGCCATCCTCCCGCAAGGGGCGGCGTGCGGCGCGCCTGACAACAGCGCAGCGTGCGCCGACACCGGCCGCTAGCATGTTACGAGCACGGGTGCGCGCGCGCGCGCGCTTTCAAGTGACCTCGTCCGACGGGGCGACATTTCCAGGAGCTGATCGGCGCCAGCCAACTGGTGGCATACGAAGTGTTCGAACTTCAGGGAGAGAGAGAGAGAGAGAGGAGGGAGAGAGAGAGGAGAGAGAGGAGAGGAGAGGAGAGAGAGGAGAGAGAGAGAGATTGAGAGATAGAGAGAGGAGAGAGAGAGAGAGAGAGAGCGAGAGGACGAGGAGACAGCGACGAGAGACAGAGACAGAAGACCAGAGACCGAGACAGAGCGAAGAGACAGAGACAGAGACAGAGACAGAGACCAGAGACAGAGACAGAGACAGAGACAGAGACAGAGACAGAGACAGAGACAGAGACAGAGACAGAGACAGAGACAGAGACAGAGACAGAGACAGAGACAGAGACAGAGACAGAGACAGAGACAGAGACAGAGACAGAGACAGAGACAGAGACAGAGACAGAGACAGAGACAGAGACAGAGACAGAGACAGAGACAGAGACGAGAAGAGACAGAGACCAGAGACAGAGACAGAGACGAGACGGAGACAGAGACAGAGACAGAGGACGGAGACGGAGACAGAGACAGAGACAGAGACAGAGACAGAGACAGAGACAGAGACAGAGACAGAGACAGAGACAGAGACAGAGACAGAGACAGAGACAGAGACAGAGACAGAGACAGAGACAGAACAGAGACAGAGACAGAGACAGAGACAGAGACAGAGACAGAGACAGAGACAGAAACAGAGACAGAGACAGAGACAGAGACAGCGACAGAGACAGAGACAGAGACAGAGACAGAGACAGAGACAGAGACAGAGACAGAGACAGAGACAGAGACAAGAGACAGAGACAGAGACAGAGAAGAGAGAGAGAGATGGCTAACTCTGCGCACCGGCTATTGCCGGGACGATTTTCGCGCGGAGTCGTCCCGCGCCCCGCTACATTCAAGCCTCCCCGCGTTTCCAAGCGCTGCCGCCGACGTTGTCGTCCGGTCCAGTGTCACTCCCCCTCCCCCCTGGCCTGTGCCACGTTGAGAACCCTTGCCGTCGTCGCCAGGCTCCGCTCAGTCCTCGTTTGGTCACGAATGATCTGCACCGCACTCTCGGTGTCGTCAGCTGTCGGCTGTGCACTCGGGCGTCACGGCCTGCACCGCGCTTCTGTGTCGTCAAAGGCCGGTGGGTACGTCCGCTTTGTCCTCGTTTCGAACGGCCGCCAATCCGGCGCAGCGTTGGAAGCTCTGGGAGCGGCGCCGCGTGCCTCGGGACCAAGTGCACCTGACCTGACGCCAGGTGAGAGGCGTGCTCGGGGTCAAGTGTACCTGACCTGACGCCAGGTGAGAGGCGTGACTCGGGGCCAAGTGTACCTGACCTGGCGCCAGGTGAGAGACGTATCTCGGGGTCAAATGTACCTGACCTGACGCCAGGTGAGAGGCGTATCTCGGGGTCAAATGTACCTGACCTGACGCCAGGTGAGAGGCGAATCTCGGGGTCAAATGTACCTGGCGGGACGCCAAGTAAGAGCCAGCTCGGCGACCCGGGGCAGCGCGTGTTGGCTACAGTGCCGTGATCTCACGTGTGGAAAGGCTGCCCGTCCTGCTGCGGTGACTCACTGACCTGAGGAAGCCTGCGTGCAGGGTCAATGACCTGGGGCAGCGTGCGCATCAGGGTCACTCATCCGACGGGGCGTGCACTCATTGTGACCAAAGCCACAACAGGCACGCGTGGCGTACAACGCTGGCGAGAGAGAACACTCGCTCGTGACAGAGCGCCATTTGGATCACTGACCTGACCCAGGGCGCCGTCGGGTCACTAACATGGCGCAGGACGTCGCCGGGGTCACTGACCTGCGGCAGGGCGTCGCTGGGGTCGTCCTTGAGCCGGCCGTACGCCTTGGCCGCCAGCCGCCGGCGCCGCTCCAGCCATCGGCACTGGTTCTCGTCGTCGCACTCCTCGTCCAGGCCGAAGAACTGCTTCGTGCCCCGCTTCATGTAACTGGGGACGGACGGCAGCATCGGTGAACGGCGTGCGCGCACCGACACGTTACATGTGAGGCCGGCCGGGCGCGCGCCGCGCCGTCTGTGAGGTGCGTCTGGTCGGGCTGGAGACACCGCGACGGCGCGGCGCGGACACATGCGTGAGATGGGTCGGTGAGTACGCGAGGCGATCGCGCGGCGCGTTCGTAGACGGAGTTGGGATCGTCGAGAGCACGGACGGTGGTGGGTGGGTCAGTAACACACGGGCGCTCCACTCCTAGCTGCCGCTGGACCGGCGGCTTGTTGAGGATGATGCATCTCTCAACTGGAGAAAACGCATCAACTGAAACGTTTTCAAGCCAACAACCGCCAACAACAATGAGACATGTGACTAAAACACATTTCTTGTTTATGGCACTAAGAAACCACGCCCCTCAGACTTCCCAACTCTGCATTTGTACAGCCAGCAAGCTCAGCGGGGAGCGGGGGCCGCTCGCCACCGGGAAGGCCACAGCACCTGCCTCTCCAGCCCAGCGGGACCGGGGGAGGATCCCGGCCCCAGCGAGGAGGGGACATCTGGCCGGGGCCGGCAGACACGACGACACCTCGCCCCCCCCCCCCCTCCCCCCAATCGACGCAGTCGACCGACAGGGATCACACCCACACAGCGGCTGCCGACACACAAGAGGGAGACGGGCTGGTCAGGGGCCTGCACACAACCACACAGAGGGAGAACGGGCTGGCCAGGCTGCACACACAGAGGGAGACGGGCTAGTCAGGGCTGCACACACAGAGGGAGACGGGCTGGCCAGGGCTGCACACACAGAGGGAGACGGACTGGTCAGGGCTGCACACAGAGGGAGAGGGCTGGCCAGGGCTGCACACACAGAGGGAGACGGGCTGGTCAGGGCTGCACACACAGAGGGAGAACGGGCTGGCCAGGGCTGCACACAGAGGAGACGGACTGGTCAGGGCTGCACACACAGAGGGAGACGGGCTGGTCAGGGCTGCACACACAGAGGGAGACGGGCTGGTCAGGGCTGCACACACAGAGGGAGACGGGCTGGCCAGGGCTGCACACACAGAGGGAGACGGGCTGGTCAGGGTTGCACGCTCAGCGGGGAACGCCCTTTGCGAATTTTGACACAATGCCAGAAATTAATCAGTGAGAACGCAAGCTTCCACCACACATCAAACAGCCGACAAAGAAGCAGCAACGTATCGCAGAGGTCTCGACAGTTAACAATTTCGCAGCGAAGCTTAGCGTCACGTTCAGAACTTTAAAGAAAAATGTCCAGAAATTCGATACTGTATTGCGCAGGTAGCGCCTATCACTCTATCGCGAACATCACGGAAACGACGCCGCCAACGAGGTAATCGAGATCACCTTGCGCGGCCCAGATACTGGAAAATTCGCGCTGTACCGCGTACAGGAATATCGACTACGCAAACCCTGGAAGCTATGCCCACTTCGCGAGAAAATGGAGCATGCATAACTGCAAATAACGGTAGCCGAAAAATTATGCTGGTTTATGTGAATGTCAATGCTGCCGTCCAAAGGCAAAACCCCATATGTTAATTTTTGGCTGTTTTGCGTTTGCTATGTCGTCTGATTCGTTTACCCATGCTGAATTTGGTGATTAAAACCATTAGTTCAGATCTTCACCAGCTTTTAGCCCATTCTTGTAGCTAAAAGCTTGTGCAAATTTCAGATTTTGGTTTACATATCTGAATTTAGCATAAGAAAACGAACCAGACGACATAAAGACCCAAATTGGCCAGAAATTAACAATGGGGTTTTACCTTTGGACAGCAGGATGTGTCAGACATGTTCTGTTTGCTCATACGCTGTCCTAGTTTATGTGAGGCAAGTGCTAAGAAAGGCCACCGCGGGAAAGCTGTTGGAACAGTCATCCTTCAATCACAATATGTTAACATCTATCAAATGTCAATGAACGTTAGAATGGCCCACCGCTGCACCTGTTATGCTACATGCTCAGCCCAGGCTTGTTGAATCCGTTGGATTTCTCGGCTGAATCTGGCACGAAGAATGGGCTGTCACCCTTCCGGAAGACCGTGCATTTAATACAAGAAGCGTATGAGAAAGAGCGCCATGAAGCTGTACGAGAAACCCGACGGAAACCCAAAGCCCATCCGTTGGCTTCAGTGGGGGCCGGCCGGCGTCCACACAGAGGGAGACACGGTGGCCAGAGGACCACACCCCACACAGAGGGAGACACGGTGGCCAGAGGACCACACCCCACACAGAGGACGACAAGGAAGACGCGAGACAAAAGTCACAAGGTCGGGGGTTCCCCGCAGCAGGAGATAGGCCGTCTGAGACACACACACACACCACACACACACACCACACACACACACACACACACACACACACACACACGCACACACGCACACACACACACACACACACACACACACACACACACACACACACACACACACACACACACACACACACACACACACACACACAAATGTCTTGTGGCCAGGGGCCGGTTACGACACCGCCTCTCGGAAATGAGCACGCGCCGGCTGCGTGATGTCCAATCAGGGGCCGGACGCCGGCGTGACCTTGACCCCGATGGCGGCCGGGTGCACGCTGATTGGCTTTCGCCTCCCCGCATTCGTGATGCAGCAAGGCGTGAGATATTCAACACGGCCGCCCGCCGCAGCCGTCGCTGGCCGGAGCGATCGGCGTGCAGCGCCCAAGGCGCCACGGCCGACGCGGCAGGGGGGATACGGCGCGGTGCAGCGACACACGTTGCCGGACGGGGACCCTGTATCCACCGCCGGCTTGTATGCAGGCAGTGATGAAACTTTCGAACGATGAACTAAGGTGTTGCGGGAGCACAGCTTGCAGACAACGGCGGCTCTTGAACAATGTGCCACGCCCGGAACAGATCCGCTTGCAAACCACACGCCAACACCAAACATTCATTCTCTATCCGCTCGTCGTTTCAGTCGCAGTCCACAATCGACCCCGCTCGAGCGCTCGGCAGCAGCGGGCAGCGGCGGGCGGCGGCGGGCGGCCGGTCCGCAGTGTCCCCGATCCTGTTCGGCGCGCCGGAGCAGCGGCGGGCGGCGGCGGGCGGCCGGCCCGCAGTGTCCCCGATCCTGCTGGCGCACCAGGGCAGCGGCGGGCAGCGGCGGGCGGCCGGCCCGCGGTGTCCCCGATCCTGCTGGCGCACCGGGGCAGCGGCGGGCGGCCGGCCCGCAGTGTCCCCGATCCTGTTCGGCGCGCCGGAGTAGCGGCCGGCGGCCGGCCCGCAGTGTCCCCGATCCTGCTGGCGCACCGGGGCAGCGGCCAACGACATCGGGATCACCGCCGCCCCCTGGACTCTGCTTCTGGCACCCCGCCAACCAAGTGATAACTTACGTTTTCGGGCCGGTGCCGATCGTGTAAACTTATCTTGTTTTGCTTTTTACACCGTGGTGACATGTATAAAATGGATTGAGTGCGGGCACCAGTTCGAAATTGACGAAAAAGCAAACACACATTGCCATGTCGTGAATACAGCCAAACTACACAGGCATTTAAGGCAGTTGAACACATGCTAACACATGAGACTTCAGTAAAATAGTAATGCGAAGCGAAATCAGCACATATGGCAACGCTGCTCCACAGCGGCATTTAACAGCCCATAAAGGCACTGTAAACTGCAAAACAGCACCACAAATCCCACTGACGCTTTGCTGCGGGCAACAGCAACAATCCATATTTATGAAGTCGGGACTGAACGTATCAATTTGAGGCTGAGTATGCAAACTAAATTTATTCGGCTACGTGAAGTGCCCGCACTACAAAGTTAATCAATAAATAAACAACTAGCCAGTCCTCCAGACGATGGAAGAGCGATTGTCTTGTAACATATTGCATTCACCCATGCAGGACGTTCGAAATCTAGGTCAAACCAACATCGCACGGCTGCCACGTAGAACGTGACAACCTACTGAGGGGAGGGGGGGACTGCGGAAGTCAGACCTAAGAGACCTGACTCCTCAGTGCTCGTCCTCCCTTTACCAGTCGAGCGGGGACTCTTGACTTAAGACCTTAGAGGTCCGACTCCTCAGTGTTCGTCCTTCCTTCACCAGTCGAGTGGGGACGCCTGACTTCAGAGCCACCGACTACTCAGTGATCGTCTCCCTTTACCAGCCGAGTGGGGACTCTTGACTTAAGACCTTAGAGGTCCGACTCCTCAGTGTTCGTCCTTCCTTCACCAGTCGAGTGGGAACGCCTGACTTCAGAGCCAAGAGGTCCGACTGCTTAGTGTTCGTCCTTCCTTCACCAGTCGAGTGGGACTCCTGACTTAAGACCTAAGAGGTCCGACTCCTCAGTGTTCGTCCTTTCTTTACCAGTCGAGTGGGAATCCTGACTTCAGACCTTAGAGGTCCGGCTCCTCAGTGTCCGTCCTTCCCTCACCAGTCGAGTGGGGACTCCTAACTAAAGACCTAAGAGGTCCGACTCCTCAGTGTCTGTCTTTCCTTCACCAGTCGAATGGGGTTCCTAACTTCGGACCTCAGAGGTCCGACTCCTCAGTGTCCGTTCTGCCCTCACCAGTCGAGTGGGGACTCCTGACTTAAGACCTAAGTTCGATTCCTCAGCGTTCGTCCTTCCTTCACCAGTCGAGTGGGACTCCTGATTTTCAGAGCTAAGAGGTCCGACTCCTCAGTGTCCGTTCTTCCCTCACCAGTCGAGTAAGGACTCCTGACTTCAGAGCTAAGAGGTCCGACTCCTCAGTGTTCGTAATTCCCTCACCAGTCGAGTGCAGATTCCTGATTTCAGAGCCAAGAGGACCGACTCCTCAGTGTTCGTTCTTCCCTCACCAGTCGAGTGGGGACTTCCGACTTCAGACCTTAGAGCTCCGACTCCTCAATGTCCGCCCAGACAGCTCAGCTGATGAGAGTGCCTGCCTTCCGATTCATTCACCCGTGGTAGGGTGGATTCGTGTCGCTGCAGGTGCCCGCTACGTCCCACCCCCCCCCCCCCCCTTGGCTTGAACGTGTCAAACGCGTGTTCGTGTGAATGCAGATCCGTAACAACGGGGAACAAATATATCTGTGCACGCGGAGTAACTGTCTTCGGTGCAAGACAACTGTCTGAACTTGGCTGGAAATGACACATCACAAGCATTTCATCTCCCACATGTGGACATGCAAAAACCGGCACATGACAACGACACATCAAGTCAACCTTACATGCACACTGGAGTTCAGATTTGATTCATATATCCTAAAGGTCTGCACCGAAGCCTGGAGTGCATAGACAGAAGCAATGTATTAAAAACAACACTCAACACAGGTTAATGCGTTTAACGTATATAAAACCCACAAGCCTGGCACAAATATACATTGGGAATGTATTTGTGTCAGAACAACCAGGACTCCTTCTTTGACTATCTAGTGTCGTCTTCTCCGAATGTGTCACCCACCCCATTCCCTCACCGTATGGCGCTTCACCCTCTGCCGTGCGACGCCTCACCCTCTGACCGTGCGGCGCCTCACCCTCTGACCGTGTGGCGCCTCACCCCCTGACCGTGTGACGCCTCACTCTCCCACCCTGTCGCGCCCCACCCTCTGACCGTGTGGCGTCTCACTCCCTGACCGTGTGGCGCCTCACCCTCTGACCGTGTGGCGCCCCACCCTCTGACCGTGGGGCGCCTCATCCTCTGACCGTGTGACGCCTCACTCTCCCACCCTGTCGCGCCCCACCCTCTGACCGTGTGGCGTCTCACTCCCTGACCGTGTGGCGCCTCACCCTCTGACCGTGTGGCGCCCCACCCTCTGACCGTGGGGTGCCTCATCCTCTGACCGTGTGACGTCTCGCTCCCTGACCGTGCAGTGCCTCACCTCTTGACGCGGTCGACGCGGCTGGTCTGGTGCTGAAGCGGCGGCGCGGCCCGGGCCTCAGGCCTCACCACCTGACCCACGGGCACTGAGTGCCACCGCTTCACCCCCGGACGGTCGGCTGCCGCCGGCCTGCCGACGACGGAGGTCAGGTCAGGTCAGGTCAGGTCAGGTCAGCCGACCGCAGCACGCCGTGACGATACTCGCCGGAGACACTGACGACACACGTCCAGCGTAACCAGCTCGGCGACCGGACAACTCAAGACAACCGGTCCGGGTCATGCCACTCGAACCAGAGCGTGGCGCTGTGCAGTACGTGTGGCCTCAACGAATCGAGAAGGGTTTGGTTTGCAGGCCACAGCTCTCATGTTTATGTTTCCGTTTGTGGCAGGCTGAACGGCCAACATAAAGACATCTGTTTCCGTGTGTGTGGCTCACTGCACAGCCAGCATAAACGATTAACCGCAACAGTAAACACAAGCCCCCTCCTTCAGGGGCTCGTCAGACACATCAAAGACAGAACAGCCTTGTTTGTTCACTAGATGCTGCCTGTATGGCACGTAATATACCTACTATTTCAATAAATCGGTTCAAGAACAACACGTAGGTAGGCAGCCCTCCACTTTCCTACTCGTGTTTCTGTACCTTCTCTTCGTACAAAATACCCGCGCGAAACGCTCCTATCTTTGACATGGCGTCTTAAATTCATCCGGGTGCTATAAATAGCGCAGAAATGAGGTCGCTTCCCACCCCCCATCCTCTGTCCACCACCCCACCGGGAGCGAAAACTGGTCGCCTCTGATGTCGCTGGGTCGGCGCCGACGGGGCGGGGGTGGTCGTCGAGCTGACGTCATCGCCGTCACCCGGCCATACGATCCGGGACGGGTCCAGGCCCCGACCCCCCGGAATACTCCGTCGCGCCCGACCCTGAACCGGGCGACACGGCGTCAGACCGCAGGACCAAACCGGGCGACACGGCGTCAGATCGCAGGACCAAACCGGGCGACACGGCGCCAGACCGCAGGACCAAACCGGGCGACACGGCGTCAGACCGCAGGACCAAACCGGGCGGCACGGCGTCAGACCGCAGGACCAAACCGGGCGACACAGCGTCTGACCGCAGGACCAAACCAGACGACACGGCGTCAGACCGCAGGACCAAACCGGGCGACAACGCGTCAGCCCGCAGGACCAAACCGGGCGACACGGCGTCAGACCGCAGGACCAAACCGGGCGACACGGCGTCAGACCGCAGGACCAAACCGGGCGACACAGAGTCAGACCGCAGGACCAAACCGGGCGACACGGCGTCAAACCGCAGGACCAAACCGGGCGACACAGCGTCTGATCGCAGGACCAAACCGGGCGACACAGCGTCAGACCGCAGGTCCAAACCGGGCGACAACGGGTCAGACCGCGGGACCAAACCGGGCGACACAGCGTCTGACCGCAGGACCAAACCGGGCGACAAGGCGCCAGTCCGCAGGACTACTGCCTTGACGCCTCCTCGGACACAGGGCCGCCGCCGCCGCCCCCCCCCCCCCCCCCCCCCCCGACAGATCGTGGGCAGCACGCTGGCGTACCGAGGAAGACAGGGCGCCCCAGCCGCTCCGACCGCCCTCCGGCCTCGCCACAGCCGCTCCACTCCGGCCTGCGCCGCGCCCGGCCCCGCCTCCTCAAGGCGCGCCGGTACATGGTGCTAAGGTCATTCGCTTCGCGGGGCATATTATACCCTCCTTCCACCTTCCTACTGACACGACTTTTCGTTTGCTCCGCGGACGAATTCACATCTTATCGATACTCAACCGTCCCGTCTAGCCACAGTAGGGATGCATCGGCGTCTCTTCAATTTCCTCCGACACCGAAGCCCTCGGCCGGACAGGCCGCGCAGCTCTATCAGACGGAAGATCCATCGCCGCTGGTTTCCGGGAGGGAGGCTGACAGGCAAGCAGGCAGCCAGCCAGCTCGACCGCGCCGCATACCCCCCCCCCCTCCCTCTCCCTCACTCCTGACCCCTGCCAGCTGGCGGCGACGCCCCACACCCCACCTGGCCTGCCTCATTCCGCGCACGTACGTCTTTTGATGTGGCACCGCTGCGTATTGCCAGAATGCATGCCCGGTGCTCCGTCGTATGTTGGAGCGGGAACATCGAATGCCCATTTGCATTCCGACAGTCTGCGTCCCGGGGGTGCCCGGCCGCCCGTGCAGTCGCCCGTCAGGGCGGACCCCGTCACCTCTGCGCTGGCTTCTGACCCCAGTAATGTCCTCTGACCCCAGTTCGTCCCACACACTGACCTCCGACACCTCAACCGCTACGTCATGTATCGATCAAATAACCTCTCGCATGCCACACACACGCTGGCGGCGGCTGGGCCGGTAAAACGTTCTCGCTGCGGGAAACGTTCTCGCCGACCGGTGAACGTTCGGCCGGTGAAATGGCCGGTGAAACGTTCTCGCCAACCCACCCTCCCGACCTGATCTGACACACTCCCACTCGGCTATTCCAGCCACCGACCTGTCCGTTTTGGGCGAGGCGCGCACTGAGGTGGCCGACTGCGCGGACTTGCGCGAGCCGGGCGCGCCGCTGCCGCCGCCGCCGCCGCCGCCCATCTCGTACATGGGGTTCTCGATCAGCTCATGATCAGCAGTGTCGCCGCGACTCGCCTGCCAGACAGTCGTCACGGTTAGCGTGCGGTCATCACAGGTCATCATGATGCCGCTATGAGGTCAGTACGGCGTCATTGTGAGTCATCATGGGGTCATCACGTGCCATGGGGTCATCATGAGTCATCACGAGGTCATCATGAGTCATCATGGGGTCATCATGTCTTATCATGGAGTCAGCGTGTCATCATGAGTCACCATGGGGTCATCATGAGTCATGAGATCATCAGGGGTCATCATGGGGTCATCACGAGTCACCATGGGGTCATCATGAGGCCGTAATGAGATCAGTGTGGGGTCGTCGTGAGATATCACGGAACCACCCGGATCATCATGGAGTCCTCGTCGGGCCACCTGCGGGCCTCGCAGGCGTACCCCGCGTCGTCACAGCGTCACCAACAGATCATCGCGGAATCGCACCAGGGTCGCGGGATCAGCCACTCGCCGGTCGGGTCATAGGGTCGGCAACGATGCCACCACAGGGTCCGCAGCGGTGCCAAAACCCACTGTACCGCACACATCCGGGCCTCGCCTGAGCACAAACGCGTGTGGTTGACTGTTGACATGTGCGTCCGTTTCGATACGACAGGTATGAAGCTAGCAAATTCCGCGCTGGTAGGCGTGTGGCATAGATATGGCGCCTTGGGCGTCGTCTAAGGTAAGGCCGAGGCATGCCAAGGGAACATTGTCACTTGTTTCATGACTTTGCCCATGCGTCGATGTGCCAATGGAGACAACATACGCATATCAAGCTCAGTGACCATATCTTCAGTCGAATCCATGCAATATAGTCAAATATGGATAAGATTCAGACATGTTAATTAACATAGAAACCTTATAGGTCGTCACTACATCTACAATCAACTGACTCCGACCGTCCATCTCACGACTGCCCCTCGGACATTATGTATGTTTACGACTCCCCGAGTCGGACCAGATCACGAGAAAACGCTAGTGTCGGGTTCCGAGAAGACCCGACTTTCAACATCCCACGCATCGGAGAGCGGGCGGGCAGCCTCCTTGTTCGAACTGAGGTTCCACAGCCTCACAAAGAGAGGGTCACGCCCACGTGAAGTTCACCGACATCGTTGATGTTCAATCGTTGTCATTCAGTGCGTATACATTACTTATTTATGTTCGAGCTGGTAGAGCCGAGATGTGGGCTCAATGCTTCACCCCGCACCCAAACAAGAAGCTAATAAACTACACGGCTCTGTGGCACGCTACGTAGCTAAAAGCGCACTAACTGGTGTCTGTTGCCAACAAAAAGCATGGCCATAACATTCCAACAAATGCAACGGCCATGAGAACCCTTGTAAAATTCTGACGAATATTACAAGGGTTCTCTGTCTGGACCTAAAGAACGCTCCGGGGCAAACGCAAGGACGGTTCATTTGGTGGCTCAGGATGGTTCTCTCGATCACCTAATCCAGCCAGGAGATAGCCTCTGGACAGACTCCTGTCCGCCAGGGGTACCGGTCATGGCGGCGAGCACCCACCGTCTCCTCCATAGTTGCGCTTGCGCTCTCTCCTCAGAGTCCTCCATAGTTGCGCTGGCGAGCATCCGCTGTCTATGCGGTGATTTCACATGCGATTGATTTCACATGCGACTTCACATTTCACACATCATGACATGTTTCACAGTTTACGTAGCACTGACATGCTACGATTACATAACCCCACCGACATCATCCCTTGCCCCCGGAGTGCTGTCTGCAGGACTCGTCAGGACTCATAAACTCGTCAGGACGTCTGTGACTCCGAAGTGCTGTCGGCGGGCGCGCCTGACCCCGAAGGGCTGTCAGCGGGGGCGCGTGCCCCGGAGTGCTGCCGGGAGGGGGGGGGGGGGCGTGCCCCGCAGTCCTGCCGGCGGGGCAGGTGAGCCGCGACCGCAGTCGTGGGAGGCGCCGCCGCGCCGCCGATCCATTACCGTTTACGCGCGGGGCCGGCGCCGGTCGTTATCGACGCCACCGTGCCGGTCAGCGCGCCGGACCCCGGGGCGCCTCCGCCGCCGCCGTCCGGCTGCGACGCTGGGCTCCTCGGACCGCGAGCGCCGGCGCTCCGTGGGTGCTGGCCTCCCGCATCCGCGAGGCCAGCGTCTCTCGCCGCCGTCGTCCCGACAGCGGCGGACAACGGCTCCGGCTCGTGTCGAGTCCAGCTCGTCGGCGGCCGGTCCGGCGGTCTGTCGCCGGGAGCGGGACCATCCGCCCACCCGGCCCGGCCCCGAAACGGGACCGCGCCGCGCTCCGGCGGTCAGCGCCGGCGTGCTGGCGCCGGGCCCGGCCAGGACGCCGGGCTCAGCGCGGCGCGTCCGGCGCCCGCGCCGAGCAGACGCGCGCGGCGGCGGTTCGGCCCAGCCGACCGGCAGCTGAAGGTGACCGAAGCCGCGGCCCCACAGCCGTCTGCTTCCTCGTCCGGCGCGGAACGACCGCTTAAGCGCGCCTTCCCGCACCGACATGAGACCGCAACCGGGACGGATGGACGGTGGGTCGCGGCTGGCAAGACGACCGCTCGTCACGCGCAATATCGGGCACAGTTGAAGCGCGCGAACGTCCGCACCGTGCAGAAACTGAATGTGCCGGGGATGCCCCACGGCAGGTTGAGCTGAAACTCCGTCATTGAATGCTTTGCTTTTACGTACCACTTAAAGCATTATCGATATCGACACGGTCCAGAACCCAGTCCTTTCATATGTATATATATATATATATATATATATATATATATATATATATATATATGTATGTGTGTGTGTGTGTGTGTATTTAAGTATATATGTATATATATGCATATATACCTGCATGCGTGAGTGCAGGTATGTGCGTGCGTGCGTGTACTCAAGCAAGTTATCAATGCACGTTTAGTTACATGCATGGAACACACTGATTCGATCAGCATGTTGCGCGTCTGTTCATTGTTCGAGTCAAATCATTCATGTTTTTCAGTACGTACGTAGTCAGTAAATCAGCTCACCGATAGTAATTTATGTTACTCTAGGCCAGCAACGTTTCAAGAAAATTCGCTACCCATTTCCGGAGCGGTGCGGATCAGTCAGACGCAAAATATTCGGATTTTATAAATACCCGACATGCACTACGAGACACCATTAAAGGCGAACCATTAGTCAACAGAGTACGCACGCGAGCATCACGTCAAAGCAAAAACACAACTTTCCAGCCAGTCCTGTGCCATGACAAACTCCAGACTTTGGTCACGCCGTTGGCATGGGGTGACTGAACAAGTCAAGAATGATGCATGACCTGAGCTGTTTATTTACGCCAGGCCTTCTTCGCCTTAAGAGGATGGCCTGTAGTACTTGTAAGCGGCGTTTGTTTGGACATAATTTCAAGATACGTATGTTCTCAGTGAGGTCAGAGCGCAGGAGCTTTTTATCGCGGGGTTTGCACATTTACTGGTCTCTTGCACATGCATAGTCATGCGTCGTGACAGAGATGTCGCAGTCACTCCGATATACGTCGACTTGTGGAACCGGCGATCTCCGTGCGACCATCAAGATTCATATACTATCTTGGTGTCCTTAATTGGTTTTGGTCCGACGTCAGGTTGTCTTTCATTACGGGAATTTGAATTTTGAATATTGAAATGTCCCTCATTGATTGAAACATTTCATAACAATTTCAGGATTAATTAATTTTATGAAAGTTCAAATGCTTTCAAATCAAAAATATTCGACCTTCAATAACCAGGGGGACGTAATGAAACGACGTTATTACGCAATCCTTGGCATGCGTTATAGGAAAGCTCAGACTTTTCAAGGCAGTGTCCATAGCCTTAGGGCAGCGCGGACCTGTGGTCCTAGTTTAAACTCAGAGCTAGTCCGGCCATCCCTGAATGGAGGCCTAACGTGTTCGGGTGAGGGCAAGCCCCACGGGTTAATGAGCTATACGTAAAATGTACACGGAAGAACGTAAAATACAAATATCTTGCTACCTCTGCACCTGAACACTTCACGTCGGGGGAAACAAAACGTAGCATTCGTGACCAATTTAATGACCACCTCAGAAACGCTCGTTCATGGAGAGTGCACACACCAGGGAGCATACGGTGGACTGAGACGTGGTAATGGCGTTTAGTGCCACAAGCACCAACTTTAAAGTAGCAGTTCCACCAACGACTCAAGTTACCGCGAACTCCAGGAAATCAGGATCTCTAACCGGTGACATTCCCCCAAGGCTGATCACACAAACGCCGCCCTGGCCTAAACGGCGTTTTTCAAGCGATGTCAAACGCCCGAAAATAATCTGGAAATAGCCCGCTACAAGTTGCATTGCACGCTGATGTTACGAAGCAAATTAGATCATTCAAGGGGTGAACGCCGCTGCCCTGCGTCAAGTCACTTACCAGCCTTTTATTCGGCGCGGACCACTGAAGCTTTTCCGTCTGGCCGGCGGTGTCTCCGACAATCCCTAGCACGGCGTCGGGTACTCGCGCGTCCGAATGTGCGTGTGGGAATGACTGCACAGGATGTTCCTGGGGAGTGCATTTTTAGCCTTAAGAGTCGGCACAGGTCACAGACGCCTTTCGACTGCAGACCTGCAAGTCTCGAGCAGATCTTGACATGACACTGCGCATCAGGTGACAGGATGTGGGAGCTCGAATGATTCATTATTTTGGTGGCTTAGTCTTTAATTTGCAGGGATTCGGAACATTTTGAATTTTAGGCCACATAGGTTTTCAGCATTTGCTCTTCGTCAGTACTGTTCATTTGCGACCTTGAGCACTGCATTAAAACGCGAGTGTCTTCGTTGTATGAGTATGTATATAATATCAAAGGGAACAGCATTTTGTGCTATGAATAACTTCGGCATAAGTTTGCATAACAAATCACAGCACTGTATGACGATGACCTAATCCTCGCGTGGTTTTATCAGCGTCATGTTTCTTGTCTACGTGATTTGTTGACGATGTTGCTCCGAAGAGATTATTCAAGACTTGAGAATTATATAAACACATATATATATATATATATATATATATATATATATATATATTCTCGTTTGATGACGTCGCTTAACCGAGTACCTCCCCGCACGCTGACTTTGAGTGATAATTTCAGCCTAAGAACCAAAAAAGAAACTATGAGTCCTCCTCCCATGCCCTGTTTCAGTAATTTTCAAAATAAGAACTCCTCATGAAAAAAACCATGAGCTTTTGAAAGCCTCTCCCGTTGATATCGCAAACCAGGCCTTCTGTATCCCCCTCTACGTACGTGTTTGGCACGTGTCGGCCTCGATACCCTTCACAATGTCACCTGTTTACCACCCGAAGACGACCGAGGAGAGGACCGACCCAACAGCACCACGCGCCCGGATGCATTCAGTCCATGGTCCCAAAGAACTGATTAACAGTCCAATACCGCCGAGCCCAGGCCATCTCCGCGGGGACCATACGTATACTGAGGGCGTGACAACGACCGGTGTGTCCTGGTCGATCGATCTTGTTATCTTTCTATATGACATGATGATCTTCTAAAGGGAATGCGACGCGCGTCGTCGCGCCCCTTTTATGGCGCGCCAGCGACTACGTTGGCCACATTAGCACTCATGGGCCATGCCGCGACCGGACTCGAACTCGGGCCCTTCACGCGGGAGTCCAAGGCGCTAACCATTTAGTCGCAAACGGACCGCACAACAGCAGTGACCAGACATCGAAATGCTGTGCCTTTCGGCCAATGACGACGACTGCGGCTTCTGGCCACATCGACCGCCGGAGGCCAACAGCGCCAGCATTTAAATGCAACTATCACCAGGGTTCATCGGGGATGACCGGAGCCAGCATATATCAGTCTCCGCAGACCCCGAAGTCGTCCTAATCTAACGCCACGCAACAGTTCAGCCGGGTCTCACTGACACGCGAGGACGCGGAATCGACTTCCCCGTCCAGTCGGGAAGGCCGGGCTTGAAGTCCGTCAACAATAGCATCGCAACCAGCCTGGCAGGCGCCCGAACAACGGAAGCCTCCGGCCAACTTAGAAAAGACACTGGAAAGAAGAAAAAAGCGAATGGCCTCCAACGACTGAAGTGGTATTATGTCGGCGCAGAAATGGGACTTCGAAGGTCCGGAGAGGTTGAGGAAAACGAAATGAAATATCCTCACATCATCCATCCAGCCCACGGCTTACAAAGTCGCCGCCCGGCTCATCGCGCGATGGCCGCTGGCGCTCGGACGCGCATGCGCAGAAGCCGCGCGTGCAGGATGCGCAATACGCTTGAGAGCTGATTTCGCAACGCCGGTGGAGGGAAGTACGCTCTCCCCGCATTGGACGCATGTTCCCAACGGAATAGCCGGACTGTCGTCTGTCACAAGTTCCGCGTCATCGATCTCCGCGCTCGAAGCTCTACACCGCGCTACACCCTGGCTGATGACGTCATTGCACGTGCTTCAGATCGGCTAACAGCGCCTTCGAGACAACGGCCTCCCCCACCGTATCATCAAAGCCAGACAAAGCCCGTGGAACGGCTTAGCGGAGAGCCAGCCCCCGACAGCTAGCGCTGCAGGAACGATCTGCTAATTACTGGGATCTGGCTCCCGCGAAATGGCTACTTCTCCGAAGAACTACTCCCGGACGAGAAAGGCGGACCGACGCCCAACTCACGCTACGCGTGGCGTCCAGTGTCAGATACTGAACACGGCAGAGGGCCGGCGCCGAACACAGGGTCCAGTGTCACACACTGAACAAGACGGGGGCCCGGCGCCCAACATAGGGTCCAGTATCACACACTGAACACGACGGAGGGCCGGCGCCCAACACAGATACACTGTCGGGTCAGCTATGTCGGCTGTGGGGTCCGCTATGTCGGCTGTCGGGTCAGCTATGTCGGCTTAGTCGTCTATGTCGACTCACGAGGATGGACCCCAGATCCGGGGCCGATTCTAGAGTCCACAGCTCGTGGTAAGACACGACAAAGCCCTTTCCGGCGGATACCTTCGAGACCACGTGACACGTTTATTCCGCTGCCAAGACAAACGCAGATGAAGACAAATACATGACATTTGCTTCACAATAACATGAAAATAGCCCCTTCTGCAGGCGTTACATCTATTTTTGACTATCAAATCGTAGGTGGTGTCACCGACAACTCGGATCCAGGTAAGTCGGAGGTTCAAACGAACGAACTCCACCTGAGTCCACCAAAGTTTCAATTCTCGAGCCGACTCCGACTTCACCCACAATCCTGGCCGAGTCCGCAGCAAACGGTACACCCCTTGGCACCGCATGTGGCGTCCCACGCCGGCCTGAGCAGCGGCCAGTACACTCTCCAACACGGCGCTCCTCACCGCCTCACCTGCGACTCCCGACGCGAGTCGGCCGCCGTCACGTGACTGCCACGTGACGGCGTGACGTCACCGACGCCGGAGCCCGGAGTGGGCGGGCCCGGGTCGTCGGGGGCGGAGCTCATGCCGCCATGACCCGCCTGCGGCACACAGAACAGCTCGTGTTACGTCGGGTCACATTCTGGCAAGAATCCAATAAGAAGACAGTACCAAAAGACGACGCACTTTCGACCTGCATCGTGTGGGCATACAGCAAAAGCAGATAAAAGAACTGCTCCTCAATACGTCATTGATTAATTATGTCATCGTTCTCGCACAACATTAAGAGCCAATTGACGACCATTATGTCTGGACATTATGCCCACGAACACCAGATATGAACGGCTCGACAATTTTGTTTGTGTTCTGCCTTGATCGCCTCTTGACCACTACAGCCAGATAGGCACTAGAGCCAGATAGGCACCAGTGGACATGAAGATATGATGCGTCATGATAGTGACCTGTGACGTCTTATGCCAGGCCCAATGGGTGAAGGCGATTGTTGCATTTTGCCATGCTGGGTATCAATAGCTAAACGAGCCATATCGCTTGAGAAAACAGGTTCACAAGCCGAAAAAGGTAGGTGCGATTGTAGTTCAAATCCTATGACCTCCAAACGGCAAACTCTGATCACAAAGCTTCAAGTTTGACCTAACTTCAACTTAGATGACCTGACATTGCAAACCTACCATAACGATAGTAAGGCGCTTCTGGGTGCTATAGCGGGAGTAAGGGAGTAGTTCCGTAAAACGAGTCAGGGGGCAGAGCAATGAAACATGACGTAGTCTACCTCCAAACTGGTAAAAAAGTGGTTTTAACCCGGATTTGGTCCACTTCGTCGGGTTTTGGTCCCCTCAAAACAGTTGGGGGAAGGCTGGAGGCCAAGCTGGGGGAGGCTGAAGCTTTTCCAACTTAATGGAATACTACATCCCTAACAAGGAGTCTACAAAACCTATTTGGTGTGTATTGCATGCGAAAAATAAACGTGATTTGTCCATTTTGGGCAATATTTCACCGATATGATTTCGACAGAGGTCATGGATTATGAATCGCACAGTTCAAAAGCTTTCAAACTGTAGTAATGTGTGTAAAGATGGATGTATTCCCAGGTAACCAAGATGGCAGCACACCGTTCAAACTGTTCAGGTGTTCCGCAAAACCACCGGAGAACCCGATCCCCCCCCCCCCCCCCCCATCGCACGGCAAGACTCACGAGTTTAGACATCAAATATAATACTGTTTATCCCACGCCATTTCGGAACGCGTAAGTTCGTAGATTCCCTAGACGGAACAAAGCCTTGGAAGGCACTGTGCGACGACCCAGCATGCTGCTCCCGCCCCCTACTGGCCCCTCTCGTTCGCCGCGTGGGCGTGCGGGCGCTCAGTGATGCGCCCTGACTGCGCAATGTCGCGGCTGCCGCCCGACGCCAGGGACCAGGCACGACCGCGGCGCTGATTGGCGAGAAACACACAAATACCAGTGACGTCATCGGACGTCCCATCCGCCCCGCCGCCGAGCGACTGATGACAGCCGGACCGAGAATGTCGAGGCTGGGGCTCGGCGACTGCACGCAGCGAGGCAACACGCCAAGCAGGGACAGGTCACCTCACCGGCAGGCAGAGCGGCGCACGAGAAGGCCTGGGCGGCCAATGAGACCCGTGTGTCACCCAGACGACGGAAAACGGACATTCCCTCCTCCGAATGCGCCGCTGGGGAATTGGGCCACGTCCCGCACCGACAGCCCACAGTTAGCGGCAATCCATCCCCGGTAAAGACATGCCAGCAGCCGCGCCTGAGCGGGCGGGCGGCGCCGGGTCTCCGCCCCGCCAGGGCGCGAGAGGGCGTCCGCCGGCGGCTCGCTGCTCGCGGCTGGCGTAGCTAGCAGCTTGCGGCTCGCGGCCCGTAGCTAGCTAGCAGCTAGCAGCTAGCAGCTAGCAGCTCGCAGCTCGCGGCCCGCGGTTCGTAGCTAGCAGCTTGCGGCTCGCAGCTCGTAGCTAGCAGCTAGCAGCTCGCGGCTCGCGGCTCGCGCCCCGGCCGCGGACGCCCGAGCCCCGTCCCGTGTCGGCAGCTCTCGCCGCCACGCAACAAAATCGATGCGACGCGCACTCGGCGCGCCGGCCGAGCCCCGCTGCCAGCGCGGCTCGGCGCCGACCGCGGAGACAGACGGCGGCGGCGCCGCCGGAGAAGCGGCGTGAACGCACGACGATTTTACCGACGGCGTGTGCGGCGAATACGTAATGTTGCCGGTGGCAGCTCTGGACTACATCCACGCTGCTGGTGATTTATGAAGTGAGCGATGTCGAGTATTGCCTGCGTCGGCGCTCGAAACGCGGCGCGTAACGTTAAGATGAGTCGGTCAACGGTGGCATGGGGGCATCGCTCTGGTCTGCTCATAACCTGAGTGATATATGGCGCGTTGCAGGACTGCGTGGGAGGACGCTTCTAGTCAACGACGTGCCAACGGTAAGAGCAAGGGCGAAGTTCCGTAAATAAGCTGGGAGGGGGCTGAACAGTTCAAAATATCAATAGCTACCCCCCAAGATACGCCAACAAACGGGCTTCCCTCCAGGTTCGGCGGCCGCTTTCTTCTCAAGGTTGGAGGGGTGTAGCCCAATTGGCGGAGCGTTGACTGGAGCCTTCTCCCAACTGAACCGGAAACCACACCTCTGGCACAAAAGAAACCCGCTGCCTGGAGTGAAGGTTCAGATAAAGCTCCCATGGCACACGTCATAAAAGACATATGGGGCCATACTGAAATACCAGACCTCGAAGCAGATTGACCTGCGCACACCACTCCTTTGCGCTCGTTCAGATGCACATTTATTGTCCGGTCTGCTGCACAACCGACCACACAGACACACGCAGATAACGCCTGCCGGGGCGCCAGCTACGAATCGGTTCACGTCTGGGAGTCTCTCACAGTGTCTTGGGGTCTCAAGAATGTCTTGGAGCCTCTCAGAATGTCATGGAATCTCTCAGAATGTCTTGGAGTCCCTCAGAGTGTCTTAGAGTTTCTCATAACGTCTTGGAGCCTCTCAGAATGTCTTAGACTCTCTCAGAATGTCATTGGAGTCTCTCAGAATGTCTTAGTCTCTCAGAATGTCATGGAGTCCCTCAGAATGTCTTGGAGTCCCTCAGAATGTCTTAGAGATTCTCATGAGTCTTGGAGTCTCTCAGAATGTCTTGGAGTCTCCCAGAAAGTCTTGGAGTCCCTCAGAATGTCTTAGAGATTCTCATAAGTCTTGGAGTTTCTCATAAGTCCTGGAGTCTCTCAGAATGTCTCGAAGTCTCTAAGGACGCCCCGCTCCCGAGTCCTCCAGCCGGGATTTCCGTCGCACCATCTCTCCACCGGGTCGGTCGGTCGGAGAAAACAGTCACGACACAACTGGAATCTCGTACGGCGACCATCGAAATTCCAGTGCACTGCTCTGCGCGCCGCTGCACCGCAGTGTTTGGACGCCCCTTGTGCCGCTGCCTTTACCAGGCACTGCCGTTACGGCGGATGACCTTAGACTCAAGTCTCACCTCCCAGTGATGGGGAAAAGGATGAGGATGCGTCACGCGGGAGGTGTCAGTGATTTTCACACCAAATCCCAACTTATCTGCCTTGTTATGGTTATCTGGTACTCCATCAGGCCTCCACGCAGGGCTCCGGTCAGACAGACATGGACAACGAAAAGGTCCAGCCGAATCGCAACTGATCCGAAGTCCGGCCACATCAGTATCCACGGCACTGAGAGGCCCGGCCGCACCCATCCCCAGCACCGACCGGCTCGGTCACATCCAAGCCCAGCGCTGACGGGTCCGGCCACACCCACCCCCAGCGCCGACAGGTCCGGCCACACCCATCCCCAGCAACGAAAGGTCCGGCCACACCCACCCCCAGCGCCAACAGACCTGGCCACACCCAACCCCAGCACCGACGAACCCGGTCACACCAATCCCCAGCACCGACAGGTCCGGCCACACCCATTCCCAAACGCCGACAGGCCCGGCCACACTCATCCTCAGCGCCGACAGGTCCGGCCACGCTCACCCCTAGCACCGACAGGTCCGGTCACACCCATCCCTAGCACCGACAGGTCCGGCCACACCCATCGCCAGCACCGACAGGTCCGGCCACACCCGTCCCCAGCACAGACAGGCCCGGCCACACCCATCCTCAGCGCCGACAGGTCCGGCCACGCTCACCCCTAGCACCGACAGGTCCGGCCACACCCATCCCCAGCACCGACAGGTCCGGCCACACCCATCCCCAGCACCGACAGGCCCGGCCACACCCATCCCCAGCACCGACAGGTCCGGCCAGACCTGCGCTAGCTCCGCGGTCAGAGCACGGGATCAATGGGCCCAGCCCGGCCGTAAGTTGGCCATAAATCCTGCCTCCTCGCTCGCCACACAGCGCAGATGGTGCTGCTCTGACTGGGTCGGCACGGCACGCGCGGCGCCACCCTGCAGGACGGCGCCGGGAGTCCGCAGCTGAGGCGGTGGAACGGGCCACGTGTCGCGGCTCCGGGACAAAAATGGAAATGAGAGCACGGGGTGAAAAGGGAAACAGATGTGTCGCCCGAGAGCAGGGAAGTCAGCTGCAAATGCCACGGGATAGGAGATCGCCACGTGACTGTGTTACAAAGGTCACCAAACCACCACTTAGGTGTTCGCCCATGGGGCGACAGCAGAAACCGCCGGCTAGCGACCGAATAAAAAAAGATGGGAAAGCAGTTAGGTATGCCGCCACCGCAGCAGTCGACGACTACAGCAGCGCGACAGCCACAGGCTGGTGTGTTCTAGAGCTATGGACCATGGACAGCCAAAGGCTGGTGTATTCTAGAGCTACGGACTTTAAAAGACTGCACCACCAACAGGCGACGGGCCGGCCCGCTCGCCTCTCCCTCAGAGCGGCGGCGTCGCCAGTCCAACGCGCCGCGAGCCTCGCGCCGCCGCCAGTGGCTTACTCGTCGATGAAGGCAGCTGCGCAGGTCAGCGGCTCCTCCACAGCATGGCGGGAGCGAAACCAGAAAACGTGCCCCGAGCCGGGTTTGAGCCTGGGTCTCCCGACCCACGGAGAAAAGAAACTGCCGAACTCCGAACGAAGAGAAA